TAGCCCCCCTGGAGGTCCTGGGCTTCCCCACACCTAACCTTAACCCCCATGGAGATCCAGGCCTTCCCCACACCTAACCTTAACCCCCATGGAGATCCAGGCCTTCCCCACACCTAACCTTAACCCCCAAGGAGATCCAGGCCGCCCCCACGCCTGCACATAGCCCCCCTGGAGGTCCAGGCCTTCCCCACACCTAACCTTAACCCCCATGGAGATCCAGGCCTTCCCCACACCTAACCTTAACCCCCATGGAGATCCAGGCCCTCCCCACACCTTACCTTAACCCCCATGGAGATCCAGGCCGCCCCCACGCCTGCATATAGCCCCCCTGGAGATCCAGGCCTTCCCCACACCTAACCCTAACCCCCATGGAGATCCAGGCCTTCCCCACACCTGCACATAGCCCCCCTGGAGATCCAGGCCGCCCCCCACGCCTGCACATAGCCCCCCTGGAGGTCCTGGGCTTCCCCACACCTAACCTTAACCCCCATGGAGATCCAGGCCTTCCCCACACCTAACCTTAACCCCCATGGAGATCCAGGCCTTCCCCACACCTAACCTTAACCCCCAAGGAGATCCAGGCCGCCCCCACGCCTGCACATAGCCCCCCTGGAGGTCCAGGCCTTCCCCACACCTAACCTTAACCCCCATGGAGATCCAGGCCTTCCCCACACCTAACCTTAACCCCCATGGAGATCCAGGCCTTCCCCACACCTAACCTTAACCCCCAAGGAGATCCAGGCCGCCCCCACGCCTGCACATAGCCCCCCTGGAGGTCCAGGCCTTCCCCACACCTAACCTTAACCCCCATGGAGATCCAGGCCTTCCCCACACCTAACCTCAACCCCCATGGAGATCCAGGCCCTCCCCACACCTAACCTTAACCCCCATGGAGATCCAGGCCGCCCCCACGCCTGCATATAGCCCCTCTGGAGATCCAGGCCGCCCCCACGCCTGCACATAGCCCCCCTGGAGGTCCTGGGCTTCCCCACACCTAACCTTAGCCCCCATGGAGGTCCAGGCCTTCCCCACACCTAACCTTAACCCCCATGGAGACCCAGGCCCTCCCCAGACCTAACCCTAACCGGCCTGGAGGTCCTGGTAGCCCCCACACATGAACATAGCCCCCCTGGAGAACCAGGCCTTTCCCACCCCTCAGCCTACAAATCAGCCTAAGTGTTTTGCCAAAAAACCTAAGTGTCTATGCTGTAGTACTGGGCTCGCTGTGGCCGAGTGGCAAAGGCGATGGAATGGGGAGTCATTGAGGTCCTCCCACGCAGGTTCGAATCCTGCCCACAGCACTTAGAATTATTTTCACATTTGCTTGGAGCACCAGGCCTGTGATGGCTCTATTTCAAGCCGTACTTCAGGGCTTTTTTCGGGGTTAAAACCTCCGAGGACCCCCCCTGGGTCTCAGGCTTTCCAGTGCTGCATTTATGTCCGGATTTCTAAGCTTTTTTCGGGGATAGAACCTCCACAGAATCCCCTCGGTTCTGGGACCCGCATGGCCCTATTTTAAGCCGGATTTAAGGGCTTTTTTCGGGGTTAAAACCTCCGAGGACCCCCCTGGGTCTCAGGCTTTCCAGTGCTGCATTTATGTCCGGATTTCTAAGCTTTTTTCGGGGATAGAACCTCCACAGAATCCCCTGTGGTTCTGGGACCCGCATGGCCCTATTTTAAGCCGGATTTAAGGGCTTTTTTCGGGGTTAAAACCTCCGAGGACCCCCCTGGGTCTCAGGCTTTCCAGTGCTGCATTTATGTCCGGATTTCTAAGCTTTTTTCGGGGATAGAACCTCCACAGAATCCCCCCGGTTCTGGGACCCGCATGGCCCTATTTTAAGCCGGATTTAAGGGCTTTTTTCGGGGTTAAAACCTCCGAGGACCCCCCTGGGTCTCAGGCTTTCCAGTGCTGCATTTATGTCCGGATTTCTAAGCTTTTTTCGGGGATAGAACCTCCACAGAATCCCCCGGTTCTGGGACCCGCATGGCCCTATTTTAAGCCGGATTTAAGGGCTTTTTTCGGGGTTAAAACCTCCAGGGACTCCCCTTGGTTCTGGGACCTGTCATTGCTCTTTTTCAAGACAAATTTCATGCGCTCTCTCCCGGGGAGAAATGCGCCCACCCTTATTCTTTGAGAAAATGTGTGTGTGGGTGTGTGTGTGTGTGTGTGTTGTTAACCAATTCTTTTATCTGCTGTATCTGTGTAAATCCCTTGTGCCCCGCCCCGTGTGGCCCCGCCCCGTGTGGCTCCGCCCCCTGGAAGGACAGATGAAGAAGAACCTTTGGTACTCTCTGTGGTGTGGATGTTCAGCCATGTTCATTAAAACTGTTCCAGTCAAATAAATAAACACATAAAATGAATCAAATCCAAGTCATAACCTGTGAGAAAAGTCTTCACATGAACTCTTCTGATTCCAGCCTCTACAACATGGACCCAGAAGGACCTGGCCCCGGGTCTAAACCCAGACCTGGACCCAGACCTGGACCCAGACCTGGACCCAGACCTGGACCCAGACCTGGACCCAGACCTGGACCTGCTCCCAGCTCTCAGTCTCTGAAAAGTGACCGGTCCAAACACTTTCCTCTAAACTTCAGAGAAGATGGTCCTGAAGATCAGAGGTGAGACTTGAACCCATGTCCTCCCAGAGCAGACTCTAACTTTTGTGTCGTCAGAACTTTGTGAATTTTTGTTTATTTCTGTCAAATTATATTTTATTTCTTTAAAGTTCTACTTTTAACCCTCAGTTATTTTTACTGCTCCATCCACTGAATCTAACATTTAAATATAGCATTATATAGAAGTTAAAGCTCCTTTTGTCCACGGACCTGGTCCTGGACTGGTCCTGGACTGGTCCTGGACTGACACTGGACTGGTCCTGGACTGGTCCTGGACTGGTCCAGGACTGACCCTGGACTGACACTGGACTGGCCGGACTGGTCCTGGACTGACCCTGGACTGGTCCTGGATTGGTCCTGGACTGGTCCTGGACTGATCCTGAACTGGTCCTGGACTGGTCCTGGACTGACCCTGGACTGGTCCTGGACTGGTCCTGGACTGACCCTGGACTGACCCTGGACTGGTCCTGAACTGGTCCTGGACTGGCCCTGGACTGACACTGGACTGACCCTGGACAGACCCTGGACTGGTCCTGGACTGACCCTGGACTGGTCCTGGACTGGTCCTGGACTGACCCTGGACTGACCCTGGACTGGTCCTGAACTGGTCCTGGACTGGTCCAGGACTGACCCTGGACTGACACTGGACTGGCCGGACTGGTCCTGGACTGACCCTGGACTGGTCCTGGATTGGTCCTGGACTGGTCCTGGACTGATCCTGAACTGGTCCTGGACTGGTCCTGGACTGACCCTGGACTGGTCCTGGACTGGTCCTGGACTGGTCCTGGACTGGTCCTGGACTGACCCTGGACTGGTCCTGGACTGGTCCTGGACTGACACTGGACTGACCCTGGACAGACCCTGGACTGGTCCTGGACTGACACTGGACTGGTCCTGGACTGACACTGGACTGGTCCTGGACTGACACTGGACTGGTTTATTGGACTGGTCCTGGACTGGCCGGACTGGTCCTGGACTGACCCTGGACTGGTCCTGGACTGGTCCTGAACTGGTCCTGGACTGGTCCTGGACTGGTCCTGGACTGGTCCTGGACTGACCCTGGACTGACCCTGGACCGGTCCTGGTCTGGTCCTGGACTGCTCCTGGACTGCTCCTGGACTGACCCTGGACTGGTCCTGGACTGGTCCTGGACTAGGACACAGTATACAGTAGTATGAAACAGTCTTAATGGTTCTTCTTCTTTATAAATCTTTGTTTAATTTAAAGAGTTTCCAGTGAAATATATCATATATGAGACAAACACTGATCTTTGAGAAGTTAAATAAAGTTTTTATCGTTCACAGAAAGTCAGTAAGAATTATTGAAACCAGTTCAGGCGTCTGCATAAATATAAATATTTAGTTCATCCTCCTTTTGCAGAAACAACAGCCTCTAAACTCACAGAGTCTGGATTCTGGTGTTTTGGACCTTTGAATGATTTTCAGGTCTGGGGACTGAGATTCTATTCCATTTATTCTGGTATCGACCTAAATCACAACAATAGTTTCTTGAATTCTCCGACACAGATCAGAGAATCAAACAGTTCAACACGAGAAACCATAAAACTATTGGTCCATAAATGTTGTAGAATGTCCTGGATCATCACCTCTGTCCTTTCAGTTAGATCCAGACCAGGGCTCCACAGACTCCTGCATCGGCAACAACTCTATAACCCACTGGGAACAGATGAGAAACCATGAGAGAGGGATCCAGGAGTCAGGCTGTAGAACGAGGACCGAGGCTGTAGATCCAGGAGTCAGACTGTAGAACGAGGACTGAGGCTGTAGATCCAGGAGTCAGACTGTAGAACGAGGACTGAGGCTGTAGATCCAGGAGTCAGACTGTAGAACGAGGACTGAGGATGTAGATCCAGGAGTCAGACTGTAGAACGAGGACTGAGGCTGTAGATCCAGGAGTCAGACTGTAGAACGAGGACTGCAGTTTTCCCAGACTGAGGAAGAGGAGAAAGGAGGAAGAGTAAGGGTGGCTACGAGGGGCAGGTTATCATCTGATTTATGAGCCTCCTCCAAACAAACGTGGTTCTTATCAGTGAAGTGTCAGTGTCTGGATGGACACAAAGACTGTGTTCACTTTAAGTATTTTTAGCGTTTCTGATGTTTTTGATTTAATGAATAGTCATTTTCCGTCACAGTCGACAGAACCTTATTCCTAAATGAAGCTGGATTTGTCTAAATGTACTTCAGCCTCAAGCTGCAGTGTTTGTGGCACAGTGACACCATGTGCAGCTGGTGTTGATGGTCTGTGGAGCTGCTCTGTGACGTTGAACCATCTGGTCCAGGTCATGTGACCATAGTTTGGAGGCTCCCATGGTGCTACAGCTGAAAGCACGATACTGGGACTGGTCCTCAGGTCTAGAGTCAGACTGGGACTTGTCCTCAGGTCTAGAGTCAGACTGGGACTGGTGCTCAGGTCTAGAGTCAGACTGGGACTGGTCCTCAGGTCTAGAGTCAGACTGGGACTGGTCCTCAAGTCTAGAGTCAGACTGGGACTGGTCCTCAGGTCTAGAGTCCAGGTCAGACTGGGACTGGTCCTCAGGTCTAGAGTCAGACTGGGACTTGTCCTCAGGTCTAGAGTCAGACTGGGACTGGTGCTCAGGTCTAGAGTCAGACTGGGACTGGTCCTCAGGTCTAGAGTCAGACTGGGACTTGTCCTCAGGTCTAGAGTCAGACTGGGACTGGTGCTCAGGTCTAGAGTCAGACTGGGACTGGTCCTCAGGTCTAGAGTCCAGGTCAGACTGGGACTGGTCCTCAGGTCTAGAGTCAGACTGGGACTGGTCCTCAGGTCTAGAGTCAGATTGGGACTGGTCCTCAGGTCTAGAGTCAGACTGGGACTGGTCCTCAGGTCTAGAGTCAGATTGGGACTGGTCCTCAGGTCTAGAGTCAGACTGGGACTAGTCCTCAGGTCTAGAGTCAGACTGGGACTGGTCCTCAGGTCTAGAGTCAAACTGGGACTGGTCCTCAGGTCTAGAGTCAGACTGGGACTGGTCCTCAGGTCTAGAGTCAGACTGGGTCTGGTCCTCAGGTCTAGAGTCCAGGTCAGACTGGGACTGGTCCTCAGGTCTAGAGTCAGACTGGGACTGGTCCTCAGGTCTAGAGTCCAGGTCAGACTGGGACTGGTCCTCAGGTCTAGAGTCCAGCTCAGACTGGGACTGGTCTCCTGCCCTGACATGTGTGAGTTATTCTGCAGACTAACACACAAACCCTGGTGATTACAGTACCCCTGGTGGAGGTCTCTTGACGACTACAGAAAACACAAGTTTCTTTTCCTGATCCAGAAACACAACAAAGACACAACATGAAACATGTTTGTGAATGATGCAGACACATGACGCAGGCTGAAGACCAGGAGTCTCAGTGTGGACTGTGTTCTGGAGACTGGTTCAGGACCGTCTCTGGGAGAATGAATCCTGAGCCGTGTAAGAGGGAGGTCCTCCTCACAGATGAACTACATCCAGACTGGGGCCACATGAGACACTAACATTCAATCTACTTCATTCTGTGTCCGTCTCAAATGTCAAAACCAAATCTGCTTTAATCACAAACCTCAGCACAGTCTGAATGTTGCTCTGAAAACCTGCACTTAGATATTTGGACCGAGTCCTGCAGCTGTAGGACCAGAACACCAGTTTGGAATCCAATCAGAGCCAAAGGTTCAGAGACTGTTGTATCTGGTATGTTTCCTGGTTCCTTCCTGGTCCTTACATCATTTGAATGTGTTCTGGGACATTCCTATGAGGCCAGGGCCGGAGTGGGACAATTTTTTGGCCTGGGAATTCTGGGTCAGACTGGCCCTTCTGATAAAGTAGTCTATCAAAAAAACTGAACTGCCTGCTGTTGTAATATCCATAACAACCAGCAGGTGGCCTAAAAACAAGTTTATACATTTCTAGACTAGTACTAATCAAATTATTCTTTGTTCACCCCTTTTAGACTTGTCAGTGTTAGTCACAAAATAACTCAACAATGCATTTGAATAAATCATGATATTTGAACATTCTGGAATCACAATATGAATCGGAGCAAATTTTAGACTGACTCTAGACTTATGTGGAAATAAAAAGCATTAATTTCACAAATTTTAGAACAATGTCAATTTTTTTTTCAAATAATTGTTATTCCCAAAGATTTGGCTGCATTTTTATGTATAATACATTGAATGGAATTGAAACCATTAAACTATCATCCTCCTTTCAAGACTAAACAAAAACAAAGACTAATGCAAACAGAACTAAGACAAAACGGTGCTTGCTACAACTTTATACAAAACCAAAAATAATCTTAACGTACTTTAATGCTGTCCCAGGGGAGAACTAAAAGCAAACTAAATGTTAACCTCTATCAAGACGAGAAAACACAAACTGCACAGTATTTAAATCAAACAAACCCAAATTAACAATAGCAAAATGAAGCACATTAAAACATGAGTAAACTCCATTTAAGTGCACTTGTTTCTGCTGCTATGTTTATGAGAATGGACCTCATTCACGAATAACTTCGTGAGAAACTTCTTAAATTTCTTCTCAAGCTGTTCTTTTTTTGAAATATTTTACTTTGAAGTTTTCAGTTTAGAACAAACAACAAAGAACAGTTAAACCCACCCACCCACCCTGCTCACGAAAAAAAAAAAAAAAAAAAAATGCTCTGACATCATTGTAACGGGTGCGTGTGAGTTTGAATACACTCTCGGTGCACACCCGTTAACCCTTTTGATAGATGAACTCTGCGTTGTGTTCTGTTCTGGATCTGCGCTGGCTGACTTTATCTGCAGTTCTCCTCAGACGCGAGTCGCAGACTGCACAAAATAAAAGAAAACACAAATCCTCATGGTCTCAGTCTCCATACACATACAGTCCGCAGTCCCCTGTTAGTAGCAAACACATGGAAAATTTAAGCTAGCTCTCACATGCGACTACATAAACTACTACTACGGACTCAAAACATGTATTCATATGGCTCTGACTTACATTTGGATTTAAAAGAACATAAATAGCATTTTAATTTGGATATAAAAATAAGCTTTCTAATTATTGAAACCGAATCATGACAAGTGAAAAATGTGACCCACCTCCTCAGACGCTAGGCGCAGACTGAGGGCGGCATTAGGGTGCAGCAAACGAAACACCTTTCTCTTAAAGGGACAGTGCAGGATTATGTGCAACTTGAATGGGAACATACAAAAAGGGCTAGAAATGTGCCATAAACATTAGGATAGAAATAAAATAACAGGATTTGGTGAAGTTCAAACAATAAAAAATAAAGTACATTTTCCAATGGTTACATTTACCCCTCCTGAAATTCACCAACATCCTGAGCGTAGTCCCAAAGGATACCAGGGAGGATGTCCGTCCAACAACCCGTCACAAGCAATGAATGGACCTAGTCCATAACCCGACTGAACAGTCACCTCATACATACAAGGTTCAGGAATTAAAAAGGTTGATCAAGTCTCAATATCCCCCTAGGTAAATGTGGCGCCTTGTACGTCACACAGTGCTTGGACTCAAAAATGCTCATACGGACATTTGCATCACAAAACCTAACCAATAGCAAAAAAAAAAGATTACACAAAATAAAACTCTCAGGCCACAAAAACAGGCCGAGTGTCACCACCAAACAAAGCCGGCGGAGACCTGAAATAAGGTACTTGAACCATGGACTCGATTAACCTGTTCACTGACCTCACTAACCTCCCTGCACGGGTTCAAGCTTCAGTACCACCCTCCACATCTACGTCGGAGTCAGGGGGAACTAAAGCCACTTTATGCCCGTCAGAAAGAGAGTCATGGTCTGGTAAAACTGAGTCAACTATACAGTCGTTTGGGCATCTGTGGGGAAGCAAGTCAACAGGAAAGGTCTGCTCCGCAGTAGGCAGGAGTGTCCCTGATTCATTAGTCACAGCGTCATCGTCAGGGCTGTCAATAGCCGAATTGTCACTGACGAGTGAGAGGTCTGTGTCATTGGACTCGTTACGAATCTCGGGGAGTGGTAAGAAGTTCACGTTGAGCAAAAGATTCCTGTGTACAACCCTTTCGTTCCCCTCTGCATCACTGATTCTGTAAACATGAATGTTGGGGTTTGTATCAATCACGGTGTACACTTTACTCTCCCACTTATCGGCAAGTTTCCGTTTCCCTCTTTCTCCTTTATTCGCAATCAAAACACAATCTCCAACAGACAGGTAAGTTCCCTTCACTCGTTTATTGTATTGGGTGGCCTGGTGCTGTTGTTCAGAGGATGTACGTTTCTGGGCAATATCCATCGCACTCTTGAGAGAAGAAATCAACGAAACAGCATAAGAGTCATAGTCCATAACAGATGTGTCACTGAGCACTTGCTTGAACATAATGTCGACTGGCAATCTTGGGACACAGCCAAACATTAGAAAAAATGGCGCATAGCCAGTGGTTTCATGGACAGTAGCGTTGTAAGCAAATGTGAGGCTACGAATGTGTTGGAGCCATTTCTGTTTCTCTTTGAGGGGAAGCGTCCGAAGCATACTACCCAAAGTGCGGTTGAACCGTTCCGTGCCCCCATTCCCCATAGGATGGTATGCCGTGGTGTGGGACTTGACAACACCCGCCAATCTGAGAAGCTCCGCAATCAAATTGCTCTCAAAATTTGTGCCTTGGTCCGAATGGATCCTCTCGGGAAAGCCATAGACACAAAAGATATTATCCCAGAGTTTCACCGCAACCTGTCTGGCAGTCTGATTGGCACAAGGGAATGCATGGGCTAGCTTTGTAAAATGATCAGTAACCACTAAGACATCCACAGATCTTTGCTTGCTGTCTTCTGCTGACCAAAATCAATACAAACTAACTCCATTGGAGCGGAGCTCTTGATGCTCTCAAGAGGAGCCCGGGCAGAAGGTTCAGGAGATTTACTAACCACACATCTGGCGCAACACTTCACATATTCACGCACATCTTTCTCCATGTCTGGCCAATAAAAACGTTGTCTCGCCAGAGAAAGAGTGCGGTCCTGGCCCTGATGGCCAGCCATGTCATGGAGTCCAGAGAGCGCTTTGTCTAGGCCTGTCACGATAACAAATTTTGCTGGACGATTAATTGTCTCAGAAATTATTGCGATAAGCGATTATATTGTCGTTCTGAGATCATTTGCATCGATTACAATGATAATGCAGGTACACCTTTTCAAAGAGAAATAAACTTTTATTTTTAACGAATATTTAACGCTAGAACACAATAAATTAACAAACAAACAAAAACAATAAATAAAATAGACTCAGTCTCTTAACAAAAAATGACCAGGAATAAAACTGCCAGGACCTTTGTGAAGAAAATATGAAACAGATGCCTCAAATGTCAATAATTTCTCAGACTTTATGGCAGATTACGAGAAAGAAATACCAACATGTTGACTTTGTGTGGGTTAAGACAGGATCTCTCAGGAGTAGTCCCACCTCCCCCACACCACCAGGCGAATGACAAGTGACTGACATGTGGGTTCACCAATGGGGCTACAGAAGTCCTGCCGCGGTAGCGCCCACCGGAAGTAGCGGGGCGGGCTTTGATGCTAACAGCTAAGCTAGCGGGTTTTTTTGTGTAAAGTTCTACTCCAAGAATGCACGTCTGCAGCATCTCTGTGTTCAGAGACCTTCTAGAGACTTTATATAACAGCAGTATGTGTTCACGGAGGTGCGCCGTAAGTTTATTTTATTGGTATGGTACGGTACTTCTGCATCGGCGAACACGCTAACGCTAGCTGCGCTAGTATAGTCACTAATCAAGCCTGAATGAGAACTCAGCTGCCGGCATATGTTCACAACTACTGTGTCCCCCATTGTCAATGCTGGTTAAGTCCTGGTTTAGGTCCTGTTTTGGCTGTATTTTGTATTTTTGAGTAATTTCCGTCTGCTTGCTAGACCGCTAATGTTCCCGTGACCACTTTGCGGCTCTCTGACCCGAGAGAGAGGGGGGGAGAGAGAGACGGGGGAAACAAACAAGCTGCAAATGGGATTTATCGCGGCCAGAAAAGTTATTGAGCAAATTTTATTTATCGTGCGATTAATTGATTTATTGACTATCGCGACAGGCCTAGCTTTGTCTTTGAGATTGTGCGGCAAGACGTATTGGAATCGCTTTTGTTTGGACAAGGAATCACGTGCCACTCTGTACAATACCCCGTCACGGACAACTAACCTGTCCCACTGTTTCAAGAGCCTAAGCACCTGGGGCTCCACCCCAAACCTCTCACGTCTAGATGGTCTCTTCTTGGCTGTGACAAAGGGCAATACCTGAGATATAATCTGATCCTGTCCTTGACCTAACTGTAGCTCTGAGGTAGACAATATAGGGGGAGCATCCTGACCTGAAGATAGCTGCTGTACATGCTGAGCTAGACTAACTGCTCTGGCCTCCGTAGCGCTGACCCACTCACTATGAAACTGACAAAGCGCCCTTACTTCAGCCGCATCACATGCAACTTGTGACTGGCAGCTAACTCTGAAAACATCTTGCACAGACCGCTCACCTATCTCATCCGCTTCCTGAACGAGTGTGGAATAGGGCTCTGACAAAAGTCTCTGACCGACCGGTTTTGCAAAGGGGTCGCGACTTAGTGCATCTGCTACCACATTCACTTTTCCTGGCAAATGTTTGAGCTCAAAGGAATAGGACGCAAGCTTCGACACCCAGCGGATTTCGCATGCATCAAGTTTAGGTTTTGTCAAGAGATATGTTAGCGGATTGTTATCCGTCCACACAGTGAAACTCCGCCCTTTCAGCCAGTGACTAAACTTTTCGCAAATACTCCATTTCAGAGCTAACATTTCAAGTCTGTGAGCTGGGTATCTCCTCTGCGATGCACTGAGGGTCTTGCTCGCAAAAGCAATGGGTCTGGCTTTAGTCTCACCCTTGGGGACTTGAGAAAGCACTGCGCCAAGGCCATCCATAGATGCATCAGTAGATAGGACAAAGGGTTCGTCGAAGTTGGGATGAGAAAGCACAACACACTCCAGAAGCATGGTTTTCAAACTCTCAAAGGCCTCGGCACACCCATCATTCCAGTCTGCAGGGGTACGTTTGCGGAAAGTGCCCTGTGACTTTTTGAACAAAGCAGACTTTCCTTTCCTCCTCTGACCAGCAGTTAGTGCGAACAATGGCTTTGCTATCGCGGAGCAGTTGGGAATGAAATGCTGGTAATAAAAAACCATACCAAGGAACGACTTTATGCGGCGGACTGAAGGCGTGCTGCCATCAGCCTCCATGAGATCACCGACAGTCATACTAGTGATCACCTCGACCTTTGAAGGGTCCACAGAGACTCCGCTGCCGTCAATAACATGGCCAAGGAATCCAACTTTTTCCTTCAAAAAGTGGCACTTTTTGGGGGCCAACTTCAAGTTATTGTCCCTGAGTCTGTGGAATACAGTACGAAGCCTTGAAAGGGACTCACTCTCTGAGGGAGCAAAAACGAGGAGATCATCGAGGTAACAAAGGAGTTTTGATAAGTTCATGTCCCCGAATATACCAATCATCATCCTCATGAAAGACGCAGGGCTGTTGCACAGGCCCTGTGGCATGCGGTTGTATTCATGCAGCCCGAGGGGAGTGGTGAAAGCAGTGTATTTCTTGTCCTCCTCCTGCAGAGGCACATTGAAAAATCCAAATGTTAAATCCATTGTACTGAACAGACAATTACCACAGAGCGCAGCCAAACAGTCAGCCTGGTGAGGGAGAGGGTGGGCATCTTTCAGGGTGCGGGCATTCAACCATCTAAAGTCAGTGCAGATCCGTAACCCACCGTCCTTTTTCCACACCATGACCAAGGGAGAGGCATATTCGCTGGTGGATTTCCTGATAATACCTCGTTCCTCCATGTCACCAAGCACCTGTCGCAGTTTTTGATAGTGCGCCGGGGGCACCCTCCTGTAAGGCAGGCGAAAAGGGCGATCATCAGTGAGCCGAACGCGGTGGGTGTACCCCTGAACCTCACCGCAGTCCAATGAATGTTTAGAGAAAATATCCTGATACTCAATTAGCAGCTGTCAATAGTTTTGTCATTACGTAGCTTAATTCGTACTATGTCACCAGCCTTGCCCATAAGTTTGGCTAAAATCTCAAATGATTGTTCTTGCAGGGGAACATTACGCTTTCTCAAAAACAGAGTCAAAAGATTTTCCCATTCATGGACAGAAAACTTGTCTGAACCGTCACCTCTAAAAATGGGTGGTTCCTTGACATCAGAATGCATAACAAAACTAACGTTAGGTGAAGTCATGTCAGGTGGCTGTGAATAAAAGATTGCGTCTCTAGTCGTACCCTGCGTGCATCTGTCAGACTGTAACTTAGCAGTGATAGATTCGCCAATCTTATCAGCTAGTTTGCGTTATGAGTACACTCAAGTCCGGACTCTGGTCAACTTGACTTGGCATCACACGGTCCACAAAACGTGTTGAGGAAAATTGTGGACTAGCTAGTAGAGTATCCCCATATCCCGGTGCCCTGGCGACTGGGGTCCTATTACGTAGGCCCCTACCCACACCAAACTGGAAATCAAAAGGGACACTGTCTGCTCCCTCATCCTCTCGTTTAACAGAATATGTAGTACCTTCTGCCATTATTCACAAAAATGCACAGGTACAAAAAAAAAATCCTGAACACTACTGTAACAACATGTAAACCAAACAGCACAGTCCAGTGTAGTGACACCCGTGTACCGTCCAGGGTGTGACAGCAGCTTCCCACGGCGAACGAGCTGGCGTCGAACTTGAATCAATCCTTAAAAGGTCACGGCATCATTGTAACGGGTGCGTGTGAGTTTGAATACACTCTCGGTGCACACCCGTTAACCCTTTTGATAGATGAACTCTGCGTTGTGTTCTGTTCTGGATCTGCGCTGGCTGATAAAGGACCATGACGACACATGCAGTGTTGCCAACTTAGCGACTTTGTCGCTAGATTTAGCGACTTTTCAGACCCTATAGCGACTTTTTTTCAAAAAAGCGACTAGCGACAGATCTAGACAAAGCATTAAAATCATTAAATGTTGTTAATGTTGAAATTATTGTTGTACATTTGTAGTTCTAAACATATTTAGGGTGTTTTTTACTCACTTTTGTCTCTCCCACGACGTTATTCCTCTCTCCTACAGCGTCCGTTACAGTTATTTGCAAATTGACAATTATGCAAATTAGGCAATGACATGATTTAGCGACTTCTAGCGACTTTTGGGACAGCCAATAGCTACTTTCCTTACTGAGGAGTTGGCAACACTGGACACATGTAGGATTACTGGCTGACTTTATCTGCAGTTCTCCTCAGACGCGAGTCGCAGACTGCACAAAATAAAAGAAAACACAAATCCTCATGGTCTCTGTCTCCATACACATACAGCCCGCAGTCCCCTCCTCAGACGCTAGGCGCAGACTGAGCACAGTATACAGTACAGACCAAAAAAATACAACAATTTCACTAACAATAACAATATTGTTAAAAAAAAATAAAAAAAAATAAAAAACATACCGGCAGAAAAGAAAAGAAAACACAAATCCTCATGGTCTCAGTCTCCATACACATACAGTCCGCAGTCCCCTGTTAGTAGCAAACACATGGAAAATTTAAGCTAGCTCTCACATGCGACTACATAAACTACTACTACGGACTCAAAACATGTATTCATATGGCTCTGACTTACATTTGGATTTAAAAGAACATAAATAGCATTTTAATTTGGATATAAAAATAAGCTTTCTAATTATTGAAACCGAATCATGACAAGTGAAAAATGTGACCCACCTCCTCAGACGCTAGGCGCAGACTGAGGGCGGCATTAGGGTGCAGCAAACGAAACACCTTTCTCTTAAAGGGACAGTGCAGGATTATGTGCAACTTGAATGGGAACATACAAAAAGGGCTAGAAATGTGCCATACACATTAGGATAGAAATAAAATAACAGGATTTGGTGAAGTTCAAACAATAAAAAATAAAGTACATTTTCCAATGGTTACAATCACATTAAGGTCAAGATTATTTACTTTAAGGATACCGTAAGGTATGTTGGGCTTATGTTCATATGTTCCAGGTATGGTTGCCATATTTTGACAAATGTGTCGAATGCCTTCCTCAGGCTATAGGTAATTTTTTCCAGAGGGACACAGCTATTCAATTCTGAGTACCATCTTGTCAGAGAGAGGGGAGACCTTCAAGTGACAGCAATGCATTTTCTTGCAACCGATAGTGCAATTTCCAGAATTTTTTTTTGATATTTGTTCATAGGGTTGTCAATTTTCGTTATATTTCCAAGCAGGCACACTTCAGGATCGGGAGGAAAAGATATTTTGGTAATTCGCGAAAGGACCTCACAAATGTCAAGCCAGAAACCTGCTACTTTTATACAGGACCATGTGCAGTGTAGGAAAGAGCCCATCTCCGCATTGCATCGAAAGCATGCGTTTGACAAGCTTGGTTTTGATTTGTGCATTTTTTCCGGAGTCAGGTAAAGCTGATGGAGAAAATTATAATGTACAAGTCTATAGCGAGCATTAATAGTTGCCGACACACTGTTTTGACAAAGATCTGACCAAACACTGTTTTCTATGGTAACGTTTAGGTCCGACTCCCACCTCTCCTCAGATCGATACACCGCTGGTTTAGCACAATCATTAATTAACAGAGAGTACACTCGAGAAATAAATGTACATGATCCACTATAATGCAACAACTTCTCAAGGCCTGTAAGTTTAGGTAAAGACAAATGATTACCCAAATTGCAGATAAGAAATGAACGCAACTGGAGATAACAAAAAAAGTGTTATTTGGGAGATTATACTTGAGCTTTAGTTGTTCAAAAGACATCAAAGATCCTTCTTCAAAGCAGTCCTCCAAAGTATGTATTCCGTTGTTATGCCAGGATTGCAGAATGTTGTTGTTCAGAGTCAGTGGGATCAGTTCATTTTGTCTCAAAGGCGACATTGGGGACAAACCAAATTTCTGGCCAGCACATTTATGTACCTCATACCGCACCTTAAGATAAGATAAGATAAGATAAGATAAGCTTTAGATTGTGCAAAAGGAAGAAATGTGCAAACATGTTACATGCAGGATATATATGTACAATAAAAGTGACAATAATTATGTACAACAAAAGTGACAAGTGTCAATTGGAAACAGTGTCAATAGTAGTGCAGTTTTTTTTTTTAACGAGACGTATAAGAATGGCCTTATCAGTTTTCTTAGACACATTTTTTGCATTATATTTGTAAACAAAATTACAGGCATTTTCCTTCAAAGGATGAAATACAATATGAACCCAGGACGGCACCTCATCCCTGTCAAACACTGACAACACAAAGCGCAGCTGTGCAGAAAGATAGTATTTCCGAAAATGGGGCAACCTTAGTCCTCCAGAGTTATAGTTCCATGTAAGTGACTCCAATGACTTTCTTGCTACTTTGCCATTCCAAATGAAATGTCTTACAATTTTGTCCAGAGATTTGAAAAAAGACTGTGGTAGTGAAATGGGGAGAGACTGAAAAAGATATTGCAGTCTTGGTAGGATGTTCATTTTAATGCAATTAATCCTCCCAATTAGTGTGATGGGCAGAGTGGTCCAATTCAGCAAGTCTTCCTCGATCTTCTTCAACAGTGGACTGTACTTCAGTTTATAAAGACTTTTAAGATTATTATCTAAGTTTTATACCAAGATATTTTTTCCCTGTTGGAGCCCATTTGAAACTTGATGTATCATGACATTGAGCGTAATTAAATGTTGTTAGTGGAATGATTTCACTTTTATCATAATTAACTTTATATCCTGACACTGTACCATAAGAATGAAACAGAGTTTGTAGTCTAGTAAGGGACTGAGACGGATCTGTAATATACAACATGACGTCATCGGCCAGAAGGTTAATCTTATGTGTATCTCTACCAACACTGACGCCTTTGATGTTTGGGTCCTGTCTGATCGCCTCCGCCAAAGGCTCAATAGCCAAAACAAATAGGGCGGGAGATAGGGGGCAGCCTTGTCTGCTCGATCTTTGTAAGGGAAAGGATGATGTAATTATCCCATTAGTTATAATTCGGGCTTTGGGATTATAGTATAGAGTCTTCACCCTGTCAATAAAATATTGTCCAAAACCAAATTTCTCCATTACCTTAAATAAATACGGCCATTCCAGCCTGTCAAAGGCCTTTTCGGCGTCCAATGCTACTGCCACCATTGGGTCAGACCGATGTTGTGACAGATGAATTATGCTGAAAAGCCTACTTAAGTTATTTGCTGACAAGCATTTCTGAATAAAGCCACACTGATCAGGATTAATAATTTTAGGTAAAACTTGACAAAGACGATTCGCTAACCATTTTGAAATCAGTTTGTAATCAGCATTCAGCAGAGAAATAGGCGGATAGGAGGAGCATTTTAATGGGTCTTTATTCTTTTTTAGTATTACTGTGATTATGGCTGTAGTGAAGGATTCAGGGAGTGTATGTGTTTTCAACGCTAATTGTGTTACATCCAAAAACAGTGGAATGAGCAAGTCCTTAAATTCTTTATAAAATTCCACTGGGAAACCGTCCTCTCCAGGGGCCTTATTTGGCTGGAGGGAATTTAAGGTTTTAGCTATTTCTGTTTGGGTGAATGGAGAATCCAGTCTTTGTTGGTCTTCTTCGCCAATTTTAGTAAGTTCAATTTTGGAGAGGAAATTGTCAATCTGCGTCAGATCATGAGGAAGTTCAGATGTATACAAATTTGAATAAAAACTTTTAAAATTATCATTTATCTCTTCTGGGCTATATGACGTGTTCCCAATGTCGTTCTGAATTGCGTTGATGGTTCTGCTACTTTCCTCAGCTTTCAATTGCCATGCTAATATTTTATGTGCCTTCTCTCCCAATTCATAGTATCGTTGTTTTGTCCTTAAGATATCCTTTTCAATCTTATAAGTGTTCAATGTGTTGTATTGAGTTTTTTTCTGGATTAATGACTGATAAATGTCCTTCGAGCCACTGCCTTGAAAGTCTTTTTCCAAGTTTGAAATATCTACCTCCATCTTTTCTATTTCTGCTGTGTACTTCTTCTTAAGGCCCTTTGTATAAGAGATTATTTGTCCTCTTAGGTAGGCTTTTAACGTGTCCCAAAAGATAAAGCTATTGGGCGAGGAAGGACTATTTGTCCTTCCTCGCCCAATAGCTTGTACTTTGTACTGTATATGACCCCTAACATATGAGCAGAAGTTTGGTCTCTGAAGAAGAGTAGAGTTAAGCCACCATCGATATGGTCTTCTAGGCATATCGGGAAACATGATTGAGAGAGTCAGTGGTGAATGATCAGACAGTAACCGAGGTAAATATTCTGTATCTAACACTCTATGGAACAGATGGGAAGAGGACAAGAATAGATCTATTCTGGTTTGTGAATTGTGGGGGCATGAGTAAAAGGAATAGTCCCGAGTTTGCGGGTGCATATGCCGCCAAACGTCCATTAGATTTAAGTCCATAAAAGAGTGAGTAATGTTAGCAGCTTTAGACTTCGATATTACCATAGACGATTTGTCTAAGGCTGGATCCAAACAAAAGTTAAAGTCCCCCCCAATTAGTAAATTGCAAGTTTGAGAAATACGTCTTGCATAAATGAGTCATCATCGTAGTTGGGAGTGTAGACATTGAGGAGCGACCACTGCTCAGAAAATATCCTACAGTTTACTAAGACATATCGTCCAGAAGGATCAACGATAGTATCGATCACTTCCAAAGGAGTATTCTTCCTGAGCAGTAACGCCACTCCCCTGGCTTTTGAGTTGAATGAGGAGGACATAACCTGCCCCACCCATTCACGCTTTAATTTATTATGTTCTTCAGAAGTAAGGTGAGTCTCTTGGATAAAAGCAATATCTACCTTTAACTTTTTCAAATAAGTCAGGACTCTTTTCCTTTTGACAGGCCCATTCAATCCGTTTACATTAAAACTGACAAACTTCAGGACCCTATCCATACAATTCTGTTACATATAAAATGACCTGACCTTTTAAAACTGTGACAATGAGGAAAGTGTTTGTAAAACATTATATATAGGCACGTGTGTGAGCATCTGAAAACTAACAAACAAACAAAACCCAGAACAAAAATAAAAGTGAGCATAATTCCCCTCAGTTCCCGCTCCTGGAACATGTGGCACAGTTCCCTTCCTTCTAAACGGTCTTCTCGTCGTGAACAACGTTCTCTACTCTCTGGGGGCTCTCCGACATGATATATTGTCTCAAACATTCTTAAACTGAGTATGAATATATGCGGATACGAGATAATAATAGAAATACCTTCAAGTCCAGGATGAAGAACATAACCGTGGACATATGGTAACACAGTGGCATGGTGCAATAGCGGGCAGCCCAACTATTCCTTTAGAAAAGCTGCTGCTTCTCCCCGTGTGTTTGGAAGATTTTCCGTTTCCCATCGACGAGCGTTATCCTCAGGATTGCAGGATGTAATAGTGAGTAACTGTATATTCCTGGAGCGCAGCTCTCTCTTCACATGGTCGAACTCCTTACGCCGCTTCACCAGGTTCGGACTTAAATCAGGGAAAAAGATAAGAGGTCTGTCCTCGTACGTTATAGGACTCTTGGTTTCCTTG